GCCAACAAACCGATCAAACAGGCCTTCAAGACGCGCTACGTCTCGTGGAAGATTGCCTATGATCCTGGTCCAGGAGGCAAATACAAGGTCAATCGAAAGGACATCATTTCTTGACTTGAACAATCGATCGAAGATGTCATTGCCTGCATGTCGACTCGCTCAGAGGTTGCAAAGGCCTTTGCAATCTATGGACAGGATTTTCGTTTTGCAAATCAGTCTGCATTGGCTGAATACTTGCGAAAACGAGGAGAACGGTGTATATCAGTCACTCATCGACAATCAGCGATCCTTTGGAAATGGAATAAAGCTTTTTTCACTTGTTTGAATTTTAAAAATGATGCATCAAAAGCTCACAAAATAATCACAATTTCTTGTGAGAATTAATTTGTCACTTTTAATGTTAACTCAATCGCTATTAGAAAATGCCTCAATCAATCTTTTTGTTAACTACGGTACTTGATTCTGATAAGAATGAAATCTTAATTACGATAATGACTTCTGATCAATTTTAAAAAAATTTGAGGTCCTGAACAAATTCCAGACAAAAATGCAGTGCTAAGTACGAACATGCTCGAACTCGAAAATTAAAATTCTGCTACAATAAAAAACTGGCTCCTAGAAATGGTAGCCACGATACGTCGTCAACATGAGTTCATGTCAGTCTTTCTTGTCGTCCTCGATAGTGTTTGCGGCGCCCATAACATAAGTCAAACGCTCCCTGAAAATTCGAGCAGCGTCACCCCTGTGCCATACGCATCTTTCGAGCAGCTCTCCCCAGACAAAAACAGAACCGTTTCTGGAGTAGCGATACCGGTTGACAAAGATACTGAACAAGACAAAGCCAAAGATATCGAAAACGACGAGGACGAAAGGATGTTTGATTGGATTCATTCGTCGCTTTCTTCTTCTACCGAACCACTATTGGTTAAAACCGAAGAGCACATCGAAAGTTCCACTGAAGCACTCGTAACGAGATCACAACATGAGTGGGCACAAAAGATGAAAGACGTACAGTTATTGCATACGGAAGGCAAGCGCAATGAAAATGACCTTGAAAGACTTTATAAACTGATTTTAGAATTTCGTGAGAGCAAAGACGATGAAATGATACAGTTGGGCAGACACAATTTGGCGCACGCTCTCAAGTCTCCTGACTTTTGTGGATTTATTCTCACCAAATGGATAAAAAGATTTTTTGACCCTGACAAAGCCTTACGAATCCGACTTGAGCTTGTACAGAACCAAGGCGAATTTCTGGCTGATCAAAACCTTTTTCGTTTGTGGCTAACTTACGTGGGCAAGTTTTGGGTAGAATACGATAGAGATCACCTGAAGTATGAGGACGAACAGGTGTATAAACTAATTACAATTGCAAAGGAAGAAGAAATTCTCGCGATGCTTCACCCTAAAGAATTATCGGAAGAAGGAAAATTGGTTGTCAACAGTTTGTGGAAACACATGCTTGTTCGTAGTAAAAATGAACCATTAATGATGAAGATTATAGAGCAAAATCCGTCTGATGTCAAAGAGTTTGGTCAAATCAAGAAAAAATTGGCTACGCTTTACCAGTAGCTTTCTTTCTGGATCAATTGTGTTGTTCTTGTACAGCCCGGTCGTGAGAAATGTGAGAAAGAAGTATCGAGCCCGAACTACATAAGCGTTACGTTAGACAGACTTGATTTGTGTAGGAAAGACGATCACTATATCTTCTTTCACGGCATTTTACGAAATGAGAACAAGACAAGTTGTTGAGCGGTAAAGGTAAAAACAAAATTGAAGCGGCTCTGGAGGATGAGAGCAAAGCAGAAGCATTTTAATAGCTTTGAAGGGTCAAACAGGACTGCATGGATTGGTCAGGGTGGCTATGAAGGATAATGACTGAGAAAACTTGCACAAGACTTGGTCAAATTTTCGATAGAATATGAATTAGGAGTAGTGTGGTCTACCTTGAACTCGTTCTTTTCATGAATCATGATGTTGATTATCTTTATCAGTAGACACGATCGTTGCACTTCATATGTGCGTGTACAGCTTAAAACTTAGGGACCAAAGACTTAGATGTTACAATCTACGCATGCACTTCGCCCGCACAAGAAAATGTCAGCTGCCAATACTGAAAACCAAAATATTCATCACAGCGCTGGTTATACAT